GGGATTCCCTGTTGAGAAAGTCTGGTACCTAAACTCTAACCCTTAACCCCCTGGCCACTCTACGACCTTTACCATGGATCTGGACAGTAACACTGACACCACTGTGGCAGACAGTGTGTGTGAAACCTGCTATCTTTCTTTCTGAGGGTCAAGAGTCATGCAGCCAGGTCTTTCGTTCTTCAGCAACAATTAGTTCCCTCCGTTCTCTGTCTAGCCAGCAGCCACAGAATGGCTCTTAATTGTAGGTCTGTGGGGGTCTACAGGATGTTGTACTGTCCATTAAACGACCTGACCCCTGATTGGCCCAGGCATGACCTTTGCTTGGTGTAAGGAACACTACAGCTACACTCTACACTGTCACCGTAATTGGCACCCAAGTGACAGAGCTCTTTCTCTCCCAGTGGGTTCTTGTAAAATAATGTTAATTAGCTCAACAATGAAATCAGTGTTTCCTATTGTTGGCCTTTTGGCATTGATACTTCTGAACAAGTGAAAAGAGGTTGTAGTGCATTGGAGTATAAATATAAATTGACTTTAATCCAGCTTAAGTGGAGGAGAACGTCATGTTTGTTGACATCATGCTTGAAAGATACATCTATGTTGGTATCAAGCATTGACGTGATGTACTATTGCTTTAATGTTTCTAAATTGGATTATAAACAAAAATAAGCAAACATTTTTTGTGGTTATTGTGCTCAAACACCCTGTGTGCGCGATTGTGTTTGTGTGAGTGGGTAATATACGTCTTATTGAAAGAATACATAAATAACTTTAGTTATTAAGTCGTAAAATGTTATTGTGATTAGAACCCCCACCGTTTACTGCTCTGTATAGACAGGGATTGTACCAGAAAATGCTTTTGATTCCTCAGTTACATGTATGTGTACATAAGTGCCAACAAAAACACTGTATTTATAGATGGCACGCGTTGCAGAAATATGTGCCATTATACACTCTTAGAATTAGTGGTGACTGGAGGAACCTTGCAGATCCTCAAGCAACCCCTGGAGTTCCTCAAGGAACCGTTGCTAGTCAACAGTTTATATTTGCACCTTTATTTAGTTGGAGGATCCTTTAATGTTTCAATGTAGCAAACGCTTCCTGGAGGAACCCTGGACTGGAGGCGTGGCTTAGTAGGGTCTTGGCGTTCAGATAGATATTTTTTGGGCCATCCGTTAGAGTAAATGTTATTGCTGTCCATCTGTTCTGTTGTATTGTCATCACATGTGAAGTTTGAACACTGATAATTTTGTAGCTTCAATGAGGCTTACAGAGGTGTATGAGTTCCTCAAGAGCCTGTGCAAATCCCAAAATCGGTGTAGTTACCACTTTATTACTATAAGTAGTCAGCAATGTTAATATTATATTAGACTATGTAATATGCATAAATATTCAAGGGACATTGAAGTTTGCAGTGTACAAACTTAACAATATGAACACGAATGACATTTACTCAAATGGGTGGCCAAAAAGAACTATCTGAAAGCCACACATCAAATAAGCCACGCCTCTAATTTTCTGATAGGCTGACACCTCTACAATATATTATTAAAAAGGTTCAAAATTGAACCCCTCCCATCACAAAAAGGTTCTGGTTTGAACCTTTACACAGGGGTTCCTCAAAAACCCTTTTCAGAGGACCATTTTTAGAACTCCGAAAGGTTCTTCCTGGCACCATTACTTCTAAGAGTGTAGCGCTGGACTGCAATGTCATCATGTGTTGGGCTGCATTGCTAGTATGAGTTACTGCTGTAGTTATCTGGAAGAGGGAATTTATGGATGTTTAATTATGTTTTATAAACATGGTAGAAGTTTTTAATAAATTTTGATAAATATCTGTACATGTTTTATAGTTTTTTAATTGAGAGATAAAATCCCCTATTTTGGGGTTTGTCAGAGAAGATTACTTTTGGTCCTGTTAGTGAATCAGGCCAGGGCCAGCCCAAACTACTCTTCTCACAGTGTAAGTAGCAGCTCACCGGCCAGTGAGAGGGGGGATTTGACTGTAAGGCGATTTCGGAAAGGTTGTGTGTAGCTAATCTAATGTGATTTAAAGGCTATTATTATATTGGCCATATTTCCTCCTCCTGCTCCTCAACTTACTGTACTCCCTCGAATGAGTAAAAAAAAAGAGTTTTCCTTTTCTTTTTCTCTTCCTCTTTTAAACCCTCTCTATCATCGTCTTACAGTCTCTTTCTGTCTTGATGGTTTGATAGAGTAGCTGCTGGGTGCTCAGACCACAAGGTGACACTCACTATGACAGGGTTACCCAGAGGTATTGCTGAGTGATTAACCGAAATGTCGGTTATTTTTCATTTCTTAAACAACTAATTGACCAACGTTGGTTCAATTATTTGAATTACGGTATTTATTTTTTTGTGAGCTCAATGCGCAGTTTCTCTTGAGATAAATCAGATCACGCCCGAACTGTGCGATATAGTAGGGGGTTGTAGTTTCCAACAGGCCAATATTCTACATAGTTTAGTGCAGAAAACGTAGTAATTAACTACAATGACCATAATCCATTGCGCGCCTACTGGTACATTCTGTGTTGGGCAGACATGGAAAGGGAGAGAAGAGACAGAAAAGCGTGCGATCGAGAGGGATAGAGAGCAGTTGCTTCGCAAGGTATCTCTACCTGAAAAAACATGATCTAAGTGATTGATAGATGATATTCAGCAATCATAAAAGTATGCCTTATTTACATTGAAGATCTACTAAAATAGTGATTTTGTCAGACAGCATAGGCAGCAGCTCTATAGAGATGAGATGATGACTTGGAATTAAATAATAAAGTCATCAGAAAAACAACAACTGAAATATTTGATTAAAGTAAAATAATGTTAATAACTGATGGTTAATAAGTGATAAGCAGTAATGGGCAGCCACTACCATCATGGGACTTTGATTGATTGTTTTATTCTGTGTTGTTACAGCATTAAAGCCACATAATGCATAGTGCATTTAATGTGAAAAATAATAATAACCAAAATTGAAAACCATGATTATTTTTTTTATAATCGAGCCAAAACCGAACCGACCTCAAAAAGCACTAATCGCTCAGCACTACCCAGGGGTAAACAGAGTATAGTATATGTAGTAACTCATCGGGATACTGAAGTAAAAGGCAGTTGGTAGGAAATCAGGTGTGTTGTGCAGTATATTGTGTATGGCCATGGATGCCTTGCAGCCAATTTACAATATAGTACTGTATTTTGATGCAGTCTCAGTACTGATCTCAGTGCAGGACAACAATATGATAAAGAGTTAATATTAACAGTTAACTGCTCATTCTGGCAGCTGCTTGGATCACAGTCTTCTAGTCTTCCTCTCTCTCTCTGATTGGACAGTTTGTCTGGCCATAGAGATTGGTCTTACCTCAGCTGTGAGACAGCAGAAACATTACAAGTCCTCATTCCGAGTCGGACATCTCAGCACATGTGGCTATACATCAGTGCAGATGCGGAAAACCTGATGCATGGTGTACTTTTCAACATACATATCCCTGGCCAAACTTAATCCATCCAGATACATTATTGATCTTGGACCAAAACTATTTTCGCTCTCTGCTCTTGAATGCTTTTAGATAATGTGTTACCAATATTCCCTTCCGTAATATGACGTTGTCTTTGACTGAGACGGTCCGTTATTTCAGAAGTGGGGTAGGGTTGGGTTGGGGTGTGTACAGCCCTCTGCAGCTGTACCCTACTGCTGTACTCTATCTCCCAAACAATGTAGCTAGCCTCTTGTGGGCAGCCGGGAGCTTGCCTGAGCGGAAAATGGAAGGCCCCCACAGTCCCTCAACCCTGGCCCTAGCTTCACTTCCCTGGTGCTGTTATGCCTCAACATAAAAGTGTCCCAGGAAACTGCCCTGTGCTCAGACAACATAGACACACATAATTAAGCTCTCTCCCTTCCTTCACCTCTTTAGGTTGGCCTCCGGGTGCTTTCCTATATTCTTCTTATCCTCTCTCTCTCTCTCTACTCCCCCCCCCCCCCTCTCTCTCTCTCTCTCATCTCTCTCTCTCTCTCTCTCTCTCTCTCTCTCTCTCTCTCTCTCTCTCTCTCTCTCTCTCTCTCTCTCTCCCTTCCTTCACCTCTTTAGGTTGGCCTCAGGGTGCTTTTTCTATCTTCCTCCTATTCTCACTCTCTTTCAATTCCCTGTCGTCATGGTAAAGGAATCTCTCATCTCACACTGACTGAGCTCTGCTGTGCTACACATGCAGTTCATCTGAGGTCCGCCTAACAGAGGAAAGGGTTGGAAGTGATGCCAATGGACTATATGTAGCCAGAGTATATGGCTGCTTTCCATACCCTTTTTACCTTTCCGTTGTTAAGTGCTTTCTCCTTTGGCCTGAATATAACCTTCTGAAAGTCTGAATCTGGTATCTGTTCCATTTCAGCTGTACTGTTCTGTTCAACTTGTACTCCCTTAGTGGCCCTTTAATTTGTTGTGATATACGGGCGGTGGTTTAAATGAAGTGGTTTAAATTCATATTCACATGTGGAGTGCCCTTGTTGAATGCAGAGACAGCAGTGTGAATAGTGTGGTTTTCTGTGTTTGCATAAGTAGAATTTGAGGCACAAGAGTGCAGCTTGTCTGATCTTCAAACTCTTACCCTCAAACCTCTGTTACTGACCATGTGTCGTTGACTACAACTTTTCTTCAGAACCTTGAAATGACACAGTAATTTATGGAAGTCCAATATCTGGTGGTTACTGTATGTCATTGGAATGTGGCTAAGCTGAGGCATTTCTCTTTAGCTTTAGACGTTTAATACTGCGGCAGGAAATGCTAGTAGATGTAACATAAAAGGTGTATGAGTTTTCTTTGTATTCTAGAAATGATTTATTGTGTTCCACTATTTACGCTCAGGTCTAAGTCTGTTCCTATTATCATATGACCTTCAACCAGATTATTCTACTCTGTTACTCTGTTCTATTTCCCGACAGGGGAAGGATCGGAAAGGCCAGTCGTCAATCTTCAAAGCAACAGGAGTATGGGAGAACAGTTGGATTCCCTGAGAGATAGAATGGACATCCACCACATAGGCTACGAGATAGAACACCATATAGACAATCACACCACCAACTCTTCAAACCCCCATCACAGAGCCCCGTCCAGGCAGAAGAGGTTCCTCTCATACCCCCGCTACGTGGAACTGATGCTGACTGCTGACGTCAAGATGGTGCGCCACCACGGACGCAACCTCGAGCACTACATCCTAACAATCATGTCAGTAGTAAGTAAAACAATTTTTTATTATGAAAAATACATTGTTGAATCTAGATTTGTTCTGTGCTGTAACTTACTATGATTTCAGGAAATGTGACTTTTCCGTGGTACAAAGTCATTAACTTAGTGGCTAATGATATTGGTGTCTGGTTGGTAGCTTGGTTGACTTTTTACTGTACCCATTTTTATTATCTAAGGATAACAGTTTTCACCTACAATCATTACCCCTCTTTGTTAATCAATGTCAAGATCACTGTTGTGTCTCCCAATTATATTACACTGTAATGGTCTGTTTGGGTTTTGCCCATTAGTTTTCACCCATGTGGATTGAGGTTTAACCCATTAACTATGTTTTACACAAAGGAGATGCATACAGTATTGTTCAATGTGGCACTCATACAGTAGAGAGACACAACACCCTAGAAGCCTTGACCTGTCGAATTCTGCCAAACGATGCAACTTGGATTTTGTTTACCTGTCTAGCTTCTGCTAAATGGCATATTATTACATTGACAGTATGTTGGATCCCTAAGAATGCAAGACATAAATGCTGATAGCCAGTTTTCTCTTCCTAATGTTACCCTGATAGCAAGCTCTCCTGCACAGTCAGAGATGTGGTTCATAAGGGGGTTCAATGAGCTGACTCAACACTTTATGATCTTATTGGTTTTTAGTTGGTTAATGTTACCACATGCTTGGGTTACCTCAGGGTTAACAACCAAAACACAACACTGTAAAATATGTATTTGGAAACACATGGGCCTCTGCTTTAGCCCTTAAAGACATCAATATGAAGGACCTTATGACCGTCCACACAACCATTTTCACACATACAGATGCCGTATCTTAATTTGATCATCTTGTTGTTGCAGGAATTTTCCTGCATATCAGGAAATGTAAACTTATAGTGTATTCAAGGTTTAAAAAGGCTTCTAAAGTTTGTAATTTCTTCTTGAAAATTGTAGACTTGATTTGCCCTAACATAAAATGTATCAACCCCTACAAAAAATGTCCATGAAATATAATCCACATAATAATTCACATTTCCTGTAGCTGCAGGATTATTTTCCTGCTGTAGCAAACTGGCTCAAATTAAGATCCTGCATCTGTACACACACACGCTCACGTACGTGCATACACACACGTGCACACAGCTGTCAAAGAAAAACCTGTCAAGGCTACTCAATCAAAAAGACATGCCACGCTTCGGCCAAACCAACAGAAACCAGACCCAGCATTTTAAACAAGAACAGGGAAATCAGCCAAGACTGATCCGTCATCATCATGGTGACAGCACGTTGTGCCTGGTAGTGGAGAAGGGGGCTAATGGGTGGGCTACTAGCCCTCTGATATGATGTCATAGTGTTTACACTGACCACAGAGACACATTCCTCTAGTGTATCACAGCCTTGATTGTCTGTCCATTTATGTACCAGTGTGAAGCCGTAGTTTAGGCTACAGCACGCACTCTGGGTCCCACTATCTATCCCCCTGTCTATCTTTCTATCAGCCTGTCCCCCTGTCTGTCTGCCCGCCTGCCTGTCTGCCTGCCTGCCTGCCTGCCTGCCTGCCTGCCTGCCTGTCTGTCTGTCTGTCTGTCTGTCTGTCTGTCTGTCTCTCTCTCTCTCTCTCTCTCTCTCTGTCTCTCTCTTCCCCTACCAGAATAAGTATCTGCTTCACTCAGCCCCCCAGGCTCTGACAAGCTAAATGTTTATAGAGGGCTAATGAGTTCCTGTCAGAGCTCTGTTAGGATAGCCCCAGGAGGATAGTGACCCACACTGACAGGGCTGAACCATAAGAAAGGCACACCAAAACGGTTTTGTCCAAGGAGTGGTGGGATACACACAAGTCAAGCTTTGCTGACATTTTTACATTTTGTTAAAATGTGTACCATTAGTAGAGATTTGCATTTCTTGCCTGTGTGTTCATCTTGTCACAGGTTGCTGCGGTCTACAGGGACCCAAGTGTAGGAAACCTGATCAACGTCATGATTGTCAAGCTGATCGTCATCCACAATGAACAGGTAAGAACAGGCGCTGGGGGCTGCAGTGAGTGAGTACTCTGAGACAGCTGACATCAGCCTCTCTCTGTAGCCCTTTAGAAGGACACTGCACTCCTTGTCAGAGGAAAACCTCAAGAGAAATCTCCTCAGAGAAAATGATACTACTGTCCTGTGCTACTACCATAGCTGTGATTCGACTAGGACTGACTGAGGGGCATACAGCAAATGGCCTTGTAATGACAGATAACTAACTCAGATGAAAATACTTTAATGAGACTTTTAGATACATGGTTACATTTTGTAGCTTTTTTATCTAGGAACACCTGTTCAAATCCTCACCACTGTCTCTATGTTATCTCTCACAGGATGGGCCCTCAATAAATTTCAATGCTGCTACTACCCTCCACAACTTCTGTGTCTGGCAACAGACCCAAAATGTCCAGGACGACAGTCACCCTTCTCACCACGACACTGCACTCCTCATCACAAGGTACTTACTGACATTTCACCTTTGAACTGTACTGTCTCACTACCCTAACACATACAACTGCATAGAGATGATGAATAATGGTGTACTTTGCTTGTGCTTGTGTCTTCTCACAGGGAAGACATCTGCCGAGCGAAAGACAAGTGTGACACATTGGGTAAACAAACGTCTTCACTTTCAGATTTAAATGTGTCCATGTCACCTTCAGTGACTGGGTTAACTTTCCACTCCTGTTTCAATGTTCCACAGTCAGCTAATATACAGTAATGTGTTTATATCAGGAGCTTACAGCTAATATAGTGGCCGATTAGAACAGTGTAGTGAGAGGGAGGGTGGGTGACGGGGAGGATAGAGGGTAGTACTGATCTCTCTTATGGAACAGAAGTTTCATGGCTTAATCGCCTTTAGCGGTGGAAGGTTTTTTCTTCTCCGTCCGTTCAAGCAGCTGTGTATTGGTGACCTTCCAGGGCTGGCGGAGCTTGGGACCATGTGTGACCCGTACCGGAGCTGCTCCATCAGCGAGGAGAACGGACTCAGCGCCTCATTCACCATCGCTCACGAGCTGGGTCATGTGTAAGTTAGTGATGTGCAGTTCGCAAACGATTTGTTATTTTTAAACTATTTTTACTGACTCGAGAGTCATAATTCATTTTACCAAGTGACTCGTTCATTTTAGTCATTCATTTTACCTGCTGGCTGGCCAAAATTAATCCTACAGCAGGATTATTACACACTCCTCCAGCTCAGCGGCTCCAGAGACGTGCTCCGACCACCAACTGTCTATCACGTGTGCACAGAAAAAATACATCAAATCAAATCAAATTGTATTTGTCACATGCACCGAATACAACAGTGAAATGCTTACTTACAAGCCCTTAACCAACAATGCAGTGCAACAATAAGTGTTATGTAAAAAATTGATAAGTATAAAATTAAAATACGTTGGCTAGTAGGACTGATGGTAGAGGCAGATTACGCACTCGCCATCGGATCCTTACAAGGCACCCCGACCTACGTCATGCGAATTACAGGGATTTGGGCCTTAACACAATAGCACAATTGGTTAGGAGCCCGTAAAACGGCTGCCATTTTCTCCGGCGCCAAATGTAGAACTGATAATTGATCTCATGGTGCAAGAATAAATGTAATGAATTGATTATTGAATGTTATCGATTGACACAGCTTTGTAGAACCATGACACAGCCTACACAGCCTGCCTCTGCTCAGAAAACTTGAGAATGAATCATTTGGGGGGCTACTGTAGTACGCAAACAATATGTGCTTATCTCCCTCGCGACAGTCAAGAGTTGTTCACAATCTAGTCCAGTTGCGGCCGCAACTAGACCTCGTTTTAAAGGTATCAAGAAATAATCTTATTTGTATCCCTAGCCATCACAAATGTACATTGTTTGAAGCACACTGTTGTAAGTCTCAGTCACAAATGACAGCTTCAAAAAGAGCCCTATGATAAATGAGAGGCTTTTAGAATCATGAGTCTTTCAAGTTTTTAGTTCATTGTTTGCTGGTAAGGGGGTCCTGCACACTCTGGGCATTACTGAATCAAATGAACGAAATTAGTCGAAATATTTGTTTTTTTAACTGAAGGAGTTGAAAAGATCTGAGTCAGTAAAAAGAGACGAACTTCCCATCACTAGTGTAAGTACTTTCTACCTCCCTCACCCCCCTGGCCCCCTCCTGGGCCTACCTCTCGGGGCCCCTGGGGCCTGCCCCGGCCCCGCACAACAAAAGCCCTCTTATCCTGGGTGCACACGCAGGTGCAAAACATAATAATGGAAAAAAGGGGTTTAATGACATGCCAGTCTTAATACCCTAGGGTAGTGCCCTGAGTTAAAGGGATACTTCGGGATTTTGGCAATGAGGCCATTTATCTACTTCCTCGGAGTCATATGAACTTGTGGATACCATTTTTACGTCTCTGTGTCCAGTATGAAGGAAGTTAGAGGTAGTTTTGAGAGCCAATGCTAGCTAGCATTAGCGCAATGACTGGAAGTAGCAGATACATTTACATTTTTTAAAACATTTTTGTCATTTAGCAGACGCTCTTATCCAGAGCGACTTACAGGAGCAATTAGGGTTAAGTGCCTTGCTTAAGGGCACATCGACAGATTTTTCACCTAGTCGGCTCCGGGATTAGAACCAGCAACCTTTCGGTTACTGGCACAACGCTCTTACCCACTAAGCTACCTACCCATAGACTTCTAGCTAACGCTAGTTAGCAATTGCGCTAGCTCTAGTTATATAAAGGGCCTCATTGCCAAAATCCCGAAGTATCCCTTTAACCCTGTAGGTGTTACAGCTTTGTAGAGGCAGCCAGGCAGCTAGGGGGATGAGGAGGAGCTGAGACTCATCTGAAAGCCACTGCTGCCTGGGCTTTAGATGTGGTGGACCGGGGACCTCTGCATAGGGCAGCCATTGCTTTCAACTAGGCGTCGAGATGGAAGGTGGTCTTTGTAGGGACAAGTACATGTACATACATATTAAATGTCTTTAATTTAGTGGGGACGATTCATTATCAAAGGCTGAATAATGTTGGTTTTCAGGGGCTGACTTGTCCCCCAGGCCTGTCCTAAACATTACCCCTAAAATAAGATAACACTACCTGAACCGTGTAAAATGCGGTCATACTATACTGCATAATTACTATGTAATAGCACTGTTATGATAACATTGCTCCCTGCTTGGGCCTGTTTCCACAACACACAGATGTCACCACATGTGTGAATGGAAAGAGAAGCCATATGAATAACCGCTTTGTGGCCTGATGACCAAGTCACAACATATGACCCAATCTCTCATAAAAGCCGCATGCAATTCTAAAAACATTAGGCCCAAAATCACCAGGCAAAAACGGGATAAGTTATGAAGGATGAGTGCAAAAAAGGTCTTTAACGAGACTGAGAGCGAGCAGCAAGTGAGAGCGCTCGTAATGCTAGATCTCTCTCTCTCTCAGCTCTCTCTGCTCGATATTGCGCGAGATCGATCTCTACTCTCTCTCGCGCTCTCTCTCCTCCTCCCCTCTCCATTCCCCTCCCTCCCTCCCTCTCTCTCTCCTGCCTCCCCTGATGGTTAAAGTGACAGATTTACGTTCCAGCCACTCTGGCCAGTTGTTGCTTGTTACACTCTAAGAAAAATGCTGGGTTGTTTGGTTGACCCAACTGCTGGGATGTAGGTGTTGGGTTGTTTTCTTTAAAAACTGCTGGGTTATTGATGCTGGATGCTGCGTTATTGGTGCTGGGTTATTGAGATATGAACCAGCGGATCAAAAGACTGGTGGCGTAGTTAAGTAGGATTTTTGTGAAAGAGCACAGTTTGAAAGATATGGCATATAGAAGCAAACCGGATGGACATCATGAAAATGATCGGAGAGGTTGAGGGTAGAGGAAGTTCAGGAGTAAAAACAAACAAAATAGAACTATTGTAAAATTGACTGTGTCCTTAAAATGTATATAGTATGTATAAGCTGGAAGTAGAGGCCTAAGCGTTGTTGTTCACTAGTTTACTCCAATTAGGGGAGGGGTGGTGGGGTTGGAAAGTAATAAAGGAAAATATATTTTTTTAAAGGATATGTGTATATATATGTATGTATATATATTTCTATGTATGTATGTATATGTATGTGTATATGTATGTGTATGTATGTATATGTATATAAATATTTGCGAAAAAAATATATCGGGGATTGGAAGTGATGCAGACAATTACATTGATGGAAGTTACAATCTATCTGCAATATTAAATCTACCCCATTAAAAAAAAAAAAATAATAATAATAATAATCTTAATAATCTCACAGGTGGCCAATAAAATCTTTCTTAAAGCCACGGCCCTAATAAACCACGCCTCCTGAAAATAATCTAAGGATTACGTTAAAAAAGACCCAGCTGCTAGGTCAACCCACTGAACCCTGCATGAGAATAAGAAATACCCAATTGATGGTTAAATTAACCCATGTTTGAGTAATCCCATCAACCCAACATGTTGGGTTATTCACACAACCCAATTGGCTGGGTCAAAATAACCCAACATGTGTTCTGTCCACTATTTAACCAGCGCTGGCTTACCGTCCATCTGAGACCCAGTGCTGCTCCTCACACATTCCTCCAAAGACAGGGCTGGCTCTTTGGGCCTAGCGAGGGGAAACCAGCCCTCCTGTGTGGATCGGTTTATGCTAAAGTTCAAACAGCTGGACAGGCAGTTAGCTTTGCCTCTTGGTGCGTTTAATGGTTGGATATATTCACAAGATCCTCTCCTGAGTGTATAACGCTCTGAGAAACAGAGTGTCGGCCAGGTAGTGGAACAAACCAACGCTCTCACAATGTTGTAGATTAACGAAACGAAACCCTTAGCTCAGACTAATGGATAGGAGGCCTTTCTCATATACAGTAACTCAGGAAATGTGTTGGTACAAATAGCCACTTTGGGCTCTGCTAGTGTGGTGGAGTCACTTGATATTAATACAAAAGTAATACTTATATGGCTTAATAATGTTAAAAATGCTTAATCATCAAACGTAGCCAAGTCCTTGTCGTCTTAGACTTAGATCACAGCTGATCCTTCCTGACGTTTTGATGAGTCATTAGAGCTATGGATGGAAGACAGGCTATCTTTTTTAACGTCCGAGAAATATATCCAAAAGACCCCGCCACAAAACTTTATTGGCAGCTCAGTTTCCTTGCCCCATTGGACAAGCAGAATGGCTGATTCGATGAGGTTACAGGGGTTACTAAATATGGTTTGGATTTTGGAGGCCATAAATCCTGTGCGGAGGCAGCGATCTATCATTTCATTAGTCTTTTGTGTGTGTGTGTGTGTGTGGTGTGTGCGGTGTGTAGTGGCTCCAAAAGCTCCGTCTCTGTAGTGACAAGACTGTGATTTTGCAGTGATGTTGTGATGATGTTGCTGATCTCTTGCTTTGTCAGAGTGCTGACAAAGCCTGTTGCTGCAGTCCCCACGGACTTATTAAGTCTTGTTTTTGTTCTCCCCCATATCGAGAGGAAGTCATCAGGTCCTCTTCTTCACTGTGAAAGTTACTCCCTTACTCTCACTGTTATTTATAGGGTGTTAAGTCTAGAAAAAAGTTGATTTGTCTTCTAGAGTCTTCTATAGATGTTTTGTTTTGTAGAAGTTGGAGGGATGCATATGATGATGTCATCTGTTTGGAATGAAGCTTGTTTTATTGCAGCTCAATAATAGGAGCCTGACTGTAGAGTAGAGTATTGCAGTACGTTATTATAGCTGGATAAGATTATGATGTAAGTGCACAGTACTTCAGCAAATCTCCCTCCAGAGATCCCATTTTCCTGATTGAACTCAGACCGCATATGTCTCTCTCAGACATACAGAGAGCTACAGTAGCTCCCACTCTACTGTCATTTACAAATTCATCAACATAATAGGAAAAAAAAGAAGTCCTTTCTGAGTATTCCAGCCAATTTCCTCATGCATGCGCTTCTCAGTAACAGCCAGTGGCTCTCCCGGTGTGTGAGGACCTCATTACGGGCCAGGGGCAGGCTGTGGCTCAGAGCACTCAATTAGTCCCTGAGCGGCCAGGCCCCCACAACCCCCTGCCACCCCCGCTGGCCCCTGTAGGGTGGGCCCCATGCCAGGGTTAGAACCTGGGCCAGGCCTACCTTCTTTGTGTGGCAGTCAGACCAAAGCCCCAGCCGAGAGCCCAGCCATACAGTAGGCTCACATCCTGCAGTAAACACCACGCAGCTGTGTGTGTGTGTGTGTGTGTGTGTGTGTGCAGATTAAGGCCGACCTCATCCTTCCACTAACACAGCACACACAGCCAGTTGAGTAGGTCAGGACATCCGCTCAGATCAACACAGCACAGCCCAGCAGCACTATTCTGGACATCACTATTCAGCTGGCTAGAATGAATTTAATCTGAGATGCAACGCTTTATAGGCCTTCATCTCTACATTTAAGTTCCGGATCATGTTCAATGAAGACCATTGCTTGGTTGGTGGTGTGTGTTTCCATGTCAGTTCTCTAGTTCTATATATCATAGTCAGTGGTCATGATTGAGGCTCATGTGATGTGAGTGTTCAGAACATGATGGCCTAACCATCTCTCTCAGCCTTAAGGCCCTTGAGAAGCTGACCCCTGACCTTGGGGAGGTGAGCGGGAGATGTGGTGGTGTGTTCTGTATGTGGGCAGTGCAGTGGGGGAATTATGCTGGTCAGATATACAGATCATTAAAGCATTAAAACGTCCTTCTGGCAGCTGGAGTTTTATTGAAAGCTATTGAGGCATTTGAAAACAGGTGGGAGAACCCATATGATGTGGTCGGGAAGTGTGTGTGTGAGCACACGTATGCATGTGTGCTCTCTCTGTGGGTGTGTGGTGAGTGTGTGGTATGGGGCAGGCCTGAAAAAGTCCACAAAATGTTTGACGTCATTCCCCTGGTTAAAAATGGCAGATTATAAACCTTCTGACACTCATCCCCCTGGTTAGGGCTGATCCATTTAGCAGCCATCCCCCCTTTTCCCTGATCTCTCTCTGTGTGTAATCCCCCTCTCCATCCCTCCCCCTCGGCAGGTTCAACATGCCCCACGATGACAACCCCAAATGCAGGGAGGCAGGCATGAAGCACCAGTACCACGTTATGGCGCCCACCCTCAACTACGACACCAGCCCCTGGTCCTGGTCCAAGTGTAGTCGCAAGTACATCACCGAGTTTCTGGAGTAGGTACCTCCCGCTCCGTCCCTTTTTCTACAATTTGAAACACGATGTTCAGGATGCCATCATTCTCATAATGTACACATTTTCACAGATATACAGATCATTTTCACAGATATACAGATCATTTTCGCAGATATACAGTTCATTATGGGCCCTATTCAGACTTGAGATAAGTTGACTCAATATAGACTTAAGTCAAAAAAATGTGACTTAAGTCCATGTTTTATTTACTTAAAGTCTGTGTTAAGTCTACTCAAGTCTGAATCGGGCCCTATGACCTTTAGAGATACATGAGTCACTGTAATAAAACATTATAATATCTTCCATTTTCATTGGAAATGCAAGACAAAAAAATAACACAAGCAAAAAGTGTTTGTATTCTTGTGACAATCTGGTAAGCAACCTCTGAGCAGTGTAAACTGTGTTATTGCTTGGTGTGAGAGCGTATTTCCTGTTTGAAGCAGGAGTCTTCCTGGGGTGACCTGAGCGATTGATCCTCCCCTGCTCCTCCTCTGTCTCTGCACTCAGGCAGAACCAGCTCTTGAGATGCTGGACAAACAGTCATTTAGTCGCTAGCGTGCTTTCCCCGCGAAAACGGTAACACGGGGCAACGGCTCATTCAGTGGGCTCCAAAGCCAAGCGGTGGCCACCAACCTCTTCTGAAGGGCTTCCCTTTAAGATGGGAAATGTCAGTTATAATTAGATTTTCCCTGGACGTGACCCTTTGATCTCTCCTCCCGCTTTGTTGATTGTGAGCCTCCACAAAAGGCTGCCTTGTTGATGAGTTGTATCTTGGGAAGCGAGCGGTCGCTCCCATGCGAACACCTCGTATCGAGGCTGTAAGGTCCCGCCCCGCCCCGCCACTGTGCTGTGCATAGTTTCCTACCAGCGGATGAATCCATCCATCCAGCTTTGAGTGTTTGAATTGAAAAATGTGAAAAGCAAGAAAAAGACAACTCCTTTACATTTTTTACTGCGGAATATTTTTGTCTGTATGTCAGCTATGTTAGGCAGGCTGAGTGTTCAAGCACTCGATATGTGAGCGAGAGATAAATGTAAATGACTGTGAGTGAAACTTTCCATGCTGCATGAAGAAACAAGCTGATTTGTTTAACAGTGGCCATATTTATAAACAGTTCTGTGTGGCTGTGGAGAGGAGCGTAGGGTTCAGTGTGGAAGAGCCTCAGCGGTGGGAAAGGCCCCTGAGAGTGAGGCCCACTGCTTTTAAAGTCTGCATGGCTTCAACAATGAGGAGCATTGATCTAAACGATACCTTCACTCTCCACTAAGCTGGCCTGGTCAAGTACATCACTGTTTTGACTACCTATTCTTCTCTGAGAGCTCTCTAATGCACAACACTCTCCTGTCAACTTAAATATGGAGGGACACACTACCTCTCAACCCCTCTTCAGGAGCCAAACCCCCTCGTTCTTATTTCTGTGTATGTGTAATAACGTGAACTCCCGTTGTGTGCACACCTGAGAGCTGAGTGGAAAGTGTCTTTGGTGTTCTTGTTGTTACTTTGTGTAGACTGTGATATAAAGACACCATTCATTCCGCTCCTGGCAGCCCGCCAACCGGAATAAGCCACTAAACCTATATAAAGATCAAATTCTAATCTCTCTGTGTTGCCACCCACTAATTGATGTGTACACCTGTGTTGAGATCACATAATCATTAATACAGGCCAAGGCTATACATTTTCATTCCAATGCCAGACGCACACGTTGGGAATGATCCTAACCACACACAAACATCAGATGTCTCGCTAGTCTCAACCCAAAACAGTTAAATCGTTTTCTCACGTTTTGTTAAAAAAAATTATACAAAAATCCTCAATTAATTCAAGATGTGTTTTCTGTGAAAATGATCTTTTGATGAGTATTTATTTTCCAGTTATTTCTGTGTTACAATGGCAATGACTGTTGTACAGTCAGGTCCAAAATTATTGGCACCCTTGATAAAGATGAGCAAAAAATACTTTATAAAATAAACAATACTAATACTGAGCAATGCTGTATGCAAAAGAAAAGATTATGAATAGAATTGCTCAAAGAAATAGATTTTATTTAACCGGTTATAAACCAAATTCTCAAAAAGATACTTGTTAAAATGATTGGCACCCCTGTTTTCAATTCTCTGGCACCCTCCCCTTGCTACGATAACGGCACTGAGCCTTTTCTAAAATATTTAATGAGATTGGAGAACATATTAGGGGGGATCTTAGACCATTCCTCCATACATAATCTTTCCAGATCCTTGATATAATTTGGTCTATGCTTATGGACTGTCGTCTTCAATTCGAACTACAGATTTTCAATTGGGTTCAAGCCCGGAGACTGAGATGGCCATTGCAAATTGTTGATTTTGTGGACAATCATCTGTCCATAGCACCGGTTCCAATCAAAGTGCCAATGCTGTTTAGCAAACTTCAGGCGTTTACATTTGTTGGTGGCTCTCAATCACAGGAGGTTGGTGGCACCTTCATTTGGGAGGACGGGCTCGTGGTAATGACTGGAGCAGAATGGTATCAAATACATCAAACACATGGTTTCCAGGTGTTTGATGCCATTCCATTTGCTCCGTTATGGCCATTATTATGAGCTGTTCTCCCCTAAACAGCCTCCTGTGCTCTCAATACTGGTTTTTCTCAGTCAACCCTTCCAAAGAGCCTATTGGCATAGAGGTGGTGTCTAATTGTAGATTTGGAGACTTGGTGACCCTAAGATAAGACCAAGTTCTGTCATTCTCCAACTTTGACCTTTGGTCTTTTCTTTGCCTCCCAATCCATCTTCCTCACTGTGCGTGGGGGCCGTGCTCCCTGCCATCCAGGACCTCTGTATGTGTGTTATAAACTACATAATCACACACACACATAACACAAACACACATACACACACGAATACCGACATAACACAAACACATATACACACGCATACACACACACACAGACACTTTTTCACTCATCATTTGCTGCTGGTACTCTGTTCTTTATTTTACTCTTATTATTATCTATCCTGATGCCTAGTCACTTTACCCTGCCTTCATGTACATATCTAACTTAAATACCTCATACCCCTGCACATTGATCTGGTACTCCCTCTTGTTTATTTTATTCCTACTGTGTTACTATTTTTCTTTTAATTATAATTTTTTAACTCTGCATCGTTGGGAAGGGACCGTAAGCAAGCATTTCACCCGTTGTATTCGGCGCATTTGACAAATAAAATTTGATTTTTTATTTTATTTGACAAGATATACTTGCATCTAATACCAGGCAAGTTTGCCACTGTTTCGGTGGTTTTAAACTTCTTAATTGTAGCCCTAATAGTGGTAAGTGGTATATTCGTTTTTTTAGGTATTATTTTGTACCCATTGCCTGATTTATGGTGGTCAACAACCATTTCTCTCTTTTAGATTTGAGTTATTTGCCTTTTCCCACGGTGATGGACGACAAACAGATTTGACATGCTTTACCACATTTTTATACCCCAGTGAAACAGTAAACCATGGAAGGCCACAATACAGTTCCTTAAACTGAGATTAACTTTAAAAAGTTGAATATTAATGCATATTTTATTTAGTTTGATTTTATTTATAAGAATCTTTAGGGGTGCCAATAATTTTGACACCTATCTTTTTGAGAAACAATATATTAGTTGTTTAAAAAAATCTCTCTCTCTGAGCAATTTTATTAGTATAAAATAGTATATTTTCCCATTTATTTTGAGCATACAATATTGCTCAGTATTTGTATTATTTATTTTATACAGTCTTCTTTAACCATCTTCATCAAGGGTTCCATTTTGGACCTGACTGTATATCTCCCTATGAAAAGGGGAATCACTCCAGTACTGTTTGCATTGAGTTTAATCCAACTGTGTTTAAAAAAGCCTCCCAATGGCTGCCACGTGTAGAACCTCTGTCGTTGCCAGAGGGGAGTCGTATCGCCTGTCTCGGGCTCTGCTGAGTCCTCTAAAAAACAGCGTGCCTAATCGGAAAATGGCTGCTTTTTCCCTTCTATCCGTCCAGTTTTTAATCATAGGCCCATACGGTTTCTGGAGTTCTGATTAGACAATGACAACCTGGTGAAAGACGCTTGAATATGGGCCATCATCTCTTCTCATTTTTCTGGACTCTGACAGATAGACAGACCACTACCTTATAGCTTTAATATGGGGCATCTCTCTCTCTCTCTCTGCTTCTCATGGCCCTAACGGACTGACTGACCCCATCATAGCTTTCATCGTTTGTCTCTTCCCTTGCTCATTGTTAGGCAAACTCATTCCACCAAGCACTTGTAGTCTTTTTTGGATACAAAACCAATGGTTCCTTACAGTGTGTGTGGAAATTAAAGAAAACCGCAACGGTTTCACAAGATAAGCCCAGGTAATTATGGTCCTCCTCATATCAGCTGGTGGTGTACTGAAGTGTACACACACACACACACACACACACACACACACACACACACACACACACACACACACACACACACACACACACACACACACAAAACACACATACACACACACACACTGTAGTCTGCATGTAACAGGTGCCTGAGCTCCACACAGGGTACAAATTGTAAGAGAAGTGTCGACATGTCATATAATTACACACATTATAGGCTACACTGTTTCATCCCCAGTTTCTTTTTTGTTTTGTGTCGCAAAATAAATACAGAGGAAAAATCTTTTGAGGAATGGTTTACATTTGGTGAATGGTGTTTGACTACGTTTTGTGACCGTGCTTTTAACATTGTCTAACGTTTAGTGCTTCATTCATTGTTTTGGGTAAATAGCTCTACATGCAGTACATTTTATCCAGCTGTGCTTTGTTGTCTTGTTCTGTGCTGTAGGGGTAGGGTGTGGCTGACACACAATCTATCATTATAATAGTTATGGTGAACTAGCCTGATTTATGCTAACGTTACATAACTCAATGAAGGTACTCCAAATCCTCTGTTTTTTTTGTGCACAGAGAAATGTCTGTTAAATAAACATGTGGATGGGATAGCTTTGTGTCTGTATGGAAATGCAGCTTTATTCCCTCTGTATGATGGTGACGGCATTAGCTAATATATCAGGTCACTCAGGGGAAGTGGTGTCAGTCTCAATGTTAGGTAACATCACACATCAGAGCAGACCACCCACATGGGACAAGGTGCTGTGTACATCTGAATATCATCACCCCTGGAGATGTTTGTGTTGCAATTATAAATGTCAAAGAAGTTACACATTGCCTACTTTCGTTCATACAACTATTGTATGTATCTTGACAGGAAGCTCTTGGTGTGATGATGCAGGAAGCAGAGCTGGAACACTCGGATCACCTTAATACACCTTTTACGCATGTTTATTTACTGTTTGTGTTTGTGTGTGTATGTATGTGTGTGTTACCTTCCACCTTTCAGCACAGGGTATGGAGAGTGCCTATTGGACGAGCCAGTGAGCAGAACGTACGAGATGTCCAACCACCTCCCTGGTCAGATTTACAATGCCAACCGGCAGTGTGAGCTCATGTTTGGCCCTGGCTCAATGGTCTGCCCTTACATGGTGAGCCAGGTTGCATTCCTTTCCTCTCAACCAAGTGTCTCTCAGGGTATTTCCCAAATGGCACCCTGTTCCCTATGGGTGTAGGCAATTCCATAGGGCTTTGGTCAAGTAGTGGACTATATAGGGAATATGGTGCCATTTGGGATGAGGCCTTAGTCCCTCTATGATCTACAAAAAAGTGTGCCCTCAACCAAACCCCCATGGAGAAGGCTGTCATATGCTTCTAAGTTTCTAATGTGTCTTGTCTGTGATACGGTGTTGAGATGATGAAGTCATAGCGTTACATAGACAACACTGTAAGGCCCAGTCAGTGTTTTTCATGAGCTGTCTGTATGACGGACAGCTTTGGTGGTTTTATGAGACAATTAGCTTTTTTCAGGTTTAACAGACTGCTGGGAGGCAAGTTGATTTCCTTCAGAGCAGCACACGTTCTCATGTTGAACATCCTTTAAGACTGACTGAGGATGGAAGGAAGAAATGGTTATCTTGCCAGTCACTTACCCTGTGGGCTCGGCCCGCTCTCATCTGGTTGGAGACTTCTGGAGTCATGTTTAGCTAATCTATGGTGATAGTAACAGCTGCCCAGGTGGCTGTAAAAGTTAGTGTGGTTTGGTTCCTAGTGGCTGAACTGTCCATAAAGTCTGTTACACATCTCACTGGTACAGTACACGTCTCCTGTCTCCTGTCTGACTGTCAATATTAGGGATTTATAGTTTAGTGTAAAACATCTAAATGATTCTCCTGCAGTGGACAGTGGGATTTTGTAACAGTGTTTAATTCTTCCTTCCTCTCTCTGTCTCTCCCGTTCTCTCTCCAACATGTCTCTCTGTCCAACGTGTCTCTCTCTCCCCCTTTCTCCCGCATGTCTCTTTGTCCCCCTCTCTCACTCTCTCTCTCCACACAGAAACAATGTAAGAGGCTTTGGTGTACGAGTGCTGAGGGGGACCATAAGGGGTGTCGGACACAGCACATGCCCTTGGCTGATGGGACAGACTGTGGACATGGAATGGTAGGACAGAATGTTGTATTTCTTGCATTGGATCCCGTAATGACATTTAAATGGAGGGTAGGATGACAAACAAAGTGTATTATCTACTGCGGTATTACAGTAATACCACTGTTCATGTTTTGCCTTTCTGTTATCAAGGAGCATATTTCAAACAAAACGTTCAGCGAGTAACCTGAAGCTTGAACATTAGCCTTAACCATGCTCTGAGGCCCCTACCCTCATTAAACCTCATGTTCTCACCGCCTTGGGATGCTATGCTAATTAGCACTGTGGCAGGGGTGGTTGTGGGTACATAGTGAAAGGTACTGAGGAAGGGGCTGAGGGAAAGAAGAGTAAGACAGGGCTGGGGGAGAAGGAGAGGTGAAAGCGCTGGGGGGTGGGGGGCGGTAGAGAGGGTTTTGACGGGCTGGAGGAAGCAGGTTAGCGTTTTTCGTCATTAATCTTGTTCTGGAGGCGGCTCTGTAGAGTGCTCACTAGCTAGCACAGCCACAAAGTCATAAAATCTCATTTTCAACCCAACCTTAACCCTAACCTTAACCATACTGCTAACCCTAATGCCTAATCCTAACCTTAAATTAAGAAGAAAAAAAAGGTTTTATGAATTCTTACAATATAGGCAATTTTGACTTTGCAGCTGGCCTTTCTAAGGGGAAATTGTTCAGTTCTGCCTCCAGGACAAGACTCATGACAATACATGTCAACCTGCTGGAGGAATGGGGGGATGATATGGGGCTGGGGGAAAGAGGGGATGAAATGGGGCAGGGGAAGATAGGGGATGATTTGGGGCTGGGGGAAAGAGAGGATGATATGGGGCTGGGGAAAGTGGGGATGAAATGGGGCTGGGGAAGAGAGAAGGGTGAGATGATGTGTTTGGGGAAAGAGGGATAAGAGGGGACATGGGGAGAGAGGGAGATAGAGGGAGAGAAAAGGAGGGGGAGCAGTAGAGGTGAAGGCTCGGGCACTTTGAAAGGAGATGCCGCCAGCCGTTCACAGTTGAGTCACCTAGTTCTGAACCCGTGACCCTAAAACCTCTTTAAAAGGCGGGTAAGTGGGTCAGTGGTCAGGCCATAACAGAGCCCAAGGCTGAGGCCATGCAGCTCTGTACTCCCTCCACTCTGCTCAGCTCTGTTCTGCTCAGCTCAGCTCACACAATAGACCTCACATCAATGATTCCAAAAAAGGAGGAGAGGGAGGAGGAGGAGGGAAAGAAGGGAGAGGTGGGCTAGGGATGTTTGTATGTGGTGGTGGTGGTGGTGGTGGGGTGAGAGGTAGTGGACCCTCTCTTCTAGTTAACTCTTTCCCCCCCAAACTGCAAAAAGTGAAATCAAAGCAAGTGTAAATATTTTATATTGAGTATTAATTCACATAAAGGGATACTTCAGGATTTTGGCAATAAGGCACTTTATCTACTTTACCTTTTTTATGTCTCTGTGTAAAGTATGAAGGAAGTTAGAGGTAGTTTCGTGAGCCAATGCTAACTAGCACTAGCGCAATGACTGGAAGTCTATGCGCTAGTCTATATCAGATACCACACCCGTCGCTATGGGCGGGCCATAAGGGGCCGGGCCCGCCCCCAAAAATGCTTGTGCCCCCCCCACTTGAGGGAATTTATTATTAAATATACGTACTGTAGGCTAATAATAATTGTGCCCTGCCCTCCCATGCATTTCATATGCCCCCCTTAAGACTGAGGTCTGGCGACGGGTCTGACAGATACCCATAGACTTCCAGTCATCGCACTAACACTAGTTAAACATTGCGCTAGCTCTAGTTAGCAACTTCCTTTAAACTGCACACAGAAACATAAAAATGGTATCCACGAGTTCATCTGACTCTGAGGAAATTGTCATTGGCAAATCATTTTGCTTATTTTAACCTAAAAAAGGGTTAATACAAGCAATTTATTTAATTTCAAGATATTTTATATTTTTCAATATCTAGAAAAATATCTTGAAATAAGATAAATTACTTGTATTAAACCTTTTTTAGGTTCAAATAAGCAAAATTATACAAGCCTTAATCAAGTAATTGATCTTATTTCAAGACATTTCTCAAGATATTTTACCTTAAGGTAAAATATCTTTATTTCTCGAGATTTTTTACCTTAAGTTAAAGTATCTTGAAAGATATCTTAAAAGAAGATAAATTACTTGTATTGAGCCTTTTTTGGGGTTAATGATCTGCCAATGACGTTGGATACTTTACCTTGGTAAGAAAAAACAAGAATTAGCGCTCAATATAAGATATATTGAGTGTTTTCCCATGTAAGCTCAATATGTTCCACAATGTCTCTGTATTTTTTCCCCCTGCACCATCCTGTTAAGGCTTGGATTACTACACTTAAATTACGATAAATTAACTTGGGATGGCTAACATCTTAATCCAACCAAAACAGCTGCAGTATAATGTAACTGTCATGGGATAGCAATTCTAAATACCTATGTGTGTCATTAACTGTGGTGGATTGTGGGAAACCCTCTTGAAAAGACTCTGCATTAGTTTGATCATGCCTGATGGTTTGCCATGACGACCTGTATATACAGTTGAAGTCGGAAGTTTACATACACTTAGGTTGGAGTCATTAAAACTCGTTTTTCAAGCACTTCACAAATTTCTTGTTAACAAACTATAGTTTTGGCAAGTCGGTTAGGACATCTACTTTGTGCATGACACAAGTCATTTTTCCAACAATTGTTTACAGACAGATTATTTCACTTATAATTCACTGTTTCACAATTCCAGTGGGTCAGAAGTTTACATACAGTATCCTGTTTAATTTATCTAATTTAAATTGAAGTATGATCTGGCCTTAATGGCCACGTACTCTTATAATCACAGCCAGAAGATGACTGGCCACCCCTCAGAGCCTGGTTCCTCTCTAGGTTTCTTCCTAGGTTCCTGCCTTTCAAGGGAGTTTTTCTTAGCCACTGTGCTTCTGCAACTGCATTGCTTGTTCTTTGGGGATTTCGACTCAGTATCTGTACAGCACTTTGTGAAAACTGCCGATGTAAAATGGGCTTTTTAAAATACGATTGATTGATTGATTGAGAAATTCTGGCTTGTTCCCACAATAGTATCCTGCTGCATAACATGTCTGTCTTTGGGACATACTCAAGTACAGTGTTTTCGCTTCATGCACTTTAAATGCTTAAAAGAAGATCACAAAGGTTTTTTCTGCCCTTTTTCATCTCTCTGGTGCCACCACCTCTCTCTCTCTATCCCTCTATCTCTCTCTCTTCTCTCTCTCTCTATCCCTCTATCTCTCTCTGTTCTCTCTCTCTCTATCCCTCTATCTCTCTCTCTCTCTATCCCTCTATATCTCTCTCTCTCTCTCACTCTCTCTCTCTCTCTCTCTCTCTCTCTCTCTCTCTCTCTCTCTCTCTCTCTCTCTCTGTCTCTCTCTGTCTCTCTGTCTTTCTCTCTCTCACTCTCTCACTGTCTCTCTCTCTCTCACTCTCTCTCTCTCTCAATTTCAATTTCAATTCAATTGAAGGGCTTTATTGGCATGGGAAACATATGTTTACATTGCCAAAGCAAGTGAAATAGATAATAAACAAAAGTGAAATAAACAATAACAAATTAAAAGACTAAAGACATTTCAAATGTAATATTATGTATATATACAGTGTTATAATGATGTGCAAATAGTTAAAGTACAAAAAGGAAAAAAAATAAACATAAATATAGGTTGTATTTACAATGGTGTTTGTTCTTCACTGGTTGCCCTTTTCTTGTGGCAACAGGTCACAAATCTTGCTGCTTTTATTGCACACTGTGGTATTTCACCCAATAGATATGGGAGTTTATCCAAATTTGATTTGTTTTCGAATTATTTGTGTTTCTGTGTAATCTGAGGGAAGTATGTGTCTCTAATATGGTCATACATTCGGCAGGAAGTTAGGAAGTTCAGCTCCGTTTCCACCTCATTTTGTGGGCAGTGTGCACATAGCCTGTCTTCTCTTGAGAGCCAGGTCTGCCTACATAGTCAAATAGTTCCTTAATTTTGGGTCAGTCACAGTGGTCAGGTATTCTGCCACTGTGTACTCTCTGTTTACGGCTAAATAGCATTCTAGTTTGCTCAGTTTTTTTGTAAATTCTTTCCAATGTGTCAACTAATTATCTTTTTGTTTTCTCATGATTTGGTTGGGTCTAATTGTGTTGCTGTCCTGGGGCTCTGTGGGGTCTGTTTGTGTTTGTGAACAGAGCCCCAGGACCAGCTTGCTTAGGGGACTCTTCTCCAGGTTAATCTCTCTGTAGGTGATGGCTTTGTTATGGAAGGTTTGGGAATCGCTTCCTTTTAAGTGGTTGTAGAATTTAGCGGCTCTTTTCTGGATTTTCATAATTACCGGGTATCGGCCTAATTCTGCTCTGCATGTATTATTTGATGTTTTACGTTGTACACTGAGGATATTTTTGCAGAAATCTGCATGCAGAGTCTCAATTAGATGTTTGTCCCATTTTGTGAATTCTTGGTTGGTGAGCGGACCATAAAGGGTAATGGGTTCTATAACTGATTCAAGTATTTTTAGCCAGATCCTAATTGGTATGTCAAATGTTATGTTCCTTTTGATGGCGTAGAAGGCCCTTCTTGCCTTGTCTATCAGATCGTTCACAGCTTTGTGGAAGTTACCTGTGGCGCTGATGTTTAGGCCGAGGTATGTATCGTTTTGTGTGTTCTAGGGCGACGGTGTCTAGATGGAATTTGTATTTGTGGTCCTGGCAACTGGACCTTTTTTGGAACACCATTATTTTTGTCTTACTGAGATTTACTGTCAGGGCCCAGGTCTGACAGAATCTGTGCAGAAGATCTAGGTGCTGCTGTAGGCCCTCCTTGGTTGGGGACAGAAGCACCAGATCATCAGCAAACAGTAGACATTTTACTTCAGATTCTAGTAGTGTGAGGCCGGGTGCTGATATATATGTTGAAGAGGGTGGGGCTTAAGCTGCATCCCTGTCTCACCCCACGGCCCTGTGGAAAGAAATGTGTGTGTTTTTTG